GATTGTGACACGTGGCGCGATGTGATTGGTTAAAAATCTTATCGAAAATCTAACTTTAACAATTCTGAAAAAGTAACGACATGTGATACGACGAAATTGGATAAAAATCTTATCGAAATCCATCACCAATAATTGTTTTTTCGGATAATGACACGTGGCACAATGAGAACAATTAAATATCTTATTCGAAATTACAAATAAAATTGTTTTGCATTATTTTATAAATAAAAAAATACTAATATTTTATTACCATTGATAGGGCTATTCAATGTAAGGGTGGAGATGCAAAAGGTAGTTACTGTTCATTAAGGACAGTTACTCTTTACTGGGTGAATTAAATAGTGAATAACCTTATGAGTCCTTTGCAACGGTGAAGTTGCTCTTAGATGATCTTTGAAGCACGGATACGGGGGCGGGGATTCAGAGCGTGAAAACATGATACAATTACCTTATTTATGGGGCCATTAATCTAATTTTCTTTTTGTGTTGGGCCTTATAATTTTCCATATCAAAACTAACAGTAGAAAGAAGGTAATTACATAGATGGTCAGGTAAAAGTAAAAACATGATACAATTACCATTTTCCATATTATAAATACACAAGTGTTTGTAGATATCGAGAAAAAACTGAAGAAAGGCTATCGGTTTACACAAAACCAAGGGTTTAGGATTTTAAGGGGAGAGAAAATCCAGACCAGCAAACCGATATTTTTGCTGCGATTTTATTTTATAAATAATGGTAAGGAGATAAAAAAATTTAAATTAAATTACAGACTAAATGATGTGTCTTGATTAATAATATATCATTTACAACCACATCATTTTCGTTTATAAATTTGGTTTTAAAAAAAAAATAATCTCCCTAGCATTACTTTTATTTAATTATGACCCTTGCTTTTTCTATTATTTTTATGCTTTTGTGGGCGTGTGAATTGTTGTGATGTTCTTTCCCTGCCTTTTTCAGAAGCCCAACTTTTGATTTTCTTGCAATTTGCACCAGACAAAGTGCAGAAGGAGAGCGACTGTTTGGGCTCGCTTTTGAATAGTAAAAAACCTCTCTGAATTTGTCTGAATGGTAAATAAATAATCTTCTATGATATGAAGCCATTGGGAATTTGAGGATTGACCGAGCTTATTAGCAGTACGCATGCTGATTCTGCAATATATAATTGGGATAATTACATTTTTACCATTGTATTTTGAGGCAAGTCACAATTTGGCCCATGTCTTTTGTAATAAGACATACCGTTAAGTTTCTAAATGTTACACTACTGACCTTCGCTCAGTCAAACTATAAGCTAACGTAGTTTCCAAAAATAAATAAATAAATAAATATATATATAAGCTAATGCTATTATTTTTAAACAATACAACACTCAGTAAGCTTATCTTTGCTTATATTAATGTCATATAAGTTATTTTTCATCTTTATTAAAGTTGTTATTTGTTGTCCATATATAGCCCAGTGTTAATCTGTTTGTCATGTATACGGCTCTATGCAGGTAAAACATGGGTCAACTGTCAGACTAGACAAAAGTGTAGGAATTTGTAAAAGGTTAATAAAGGTGTCAATTATCTTAATAAATAGACCAAAATGTCACTAACCTTTGAACTAAGGTTCAATTGGATTAATAGCCTCGTGGTGACAAGATAATCGAAAAATAGTCTATTTAGCAGAAGAAGAAAAAAAAGATTTAAATCTGTGTGGTGAAATCTATTAGGAGACGTTTGTTTGGCCTCACTAAGTGTTACTGGACTAAACTGGACTAATTATTAGTCCAGTCCTATGTTTGATATCACGCCGGACTAGTGTTAATGAGATTATCCCGAACTCGCCTAGACTAAAGGCATCACTAAACGTTCTTAGCGGGAGTCCTCGAAAACCATGGGACAAGCTAAGAACTGCCTCTCTCCACTCTCTATTTCACTCTCTCCGACTCTCTCCTTCTCTCTCCTATCCTTGCCCAGTCTCCGACTCTCTCCTTCTCTCTCCTTCTCTCCTTGCCCAAAACCCAGAATCATAAGACCTCATATCTGCTTTTCCCGTGCACATCTCAAGTTTATCGCCAAGCTCGCTGTCGAAAGGCAGTGCTTCTCTTCTGCTCAAATCCTCGGCTTCCTCAACTCCCAATATCGCTCTTGACCATCACCTTCATCTGCCGGGACATCGTCGGCAAACTCCACAATGCCAGCCAAAACCTAGAAACAAAAAATATCAATCTGCCAAAACCCAAATGAAATTCAGAAGCTTATGAAAAATCCTGAAAAAAAAAACCCACATGACAAATCAGAAGCTTTTTTTAGAATGAATGAAAAAGAATTGAATTTGATTATAAGGGAGAAAGTGGTGAAAAATAATGGGATTTGGTGATGAGCGAGAAAGTAGAAAGAGTCAGAAACGCAGTTGGACGGGAAGGAGAAAAAAATGGAGAGCATTCTAGAGAGAGGGTGTTCTAGAAAGGTAAAAGACAAAAAGAAAAAGAAAAAAAATGTAAAAGATAGAGTTAAATATTATTATTTTAGTTCGTAATCAAATACTACACCAAATGTTTCACTAAGTTAGTCCAGTTTAGTCTAGTCTAAGTCAATCTAGCTTAGTCCCTAAAGTTAGTCCAGTCCGAGTTAGTCCGGTGCAACAAACGCACCCTTAGGAGTTTAGGCTTAAAATTGAAAATTTTGTTAACTCTCTGTTAATTGTTAGTACATGAGGCTCATATATAACTCTATGAGGCTAAAAAGGTGACGTTAGTTTTACATATAAGCCTCACGTGCTAACAATTAACATAAAATTTCGTTTTAACCTCATACATATGAGCTTATTAAATCCCTTTTAACCATATGAGCTTCCAACCATCCTACCACCACAGCAAAAAACAGCAGGAAATGGAAATGAAGAGTTGGATAAAAAAGTTGAAATTAGGATAGCAAGCAAGTAAATAGGGAAATGTGTGTGGTGTGGTCCAGGATTATCATTGGGTTGTGGTGCAAATAAACAAAAGGTGGCCCATCACCATGACCTCTCATTTTCCTTCGTAATATCATATAACATTTTATATTAAAATATTGTCCGTCTGGCAAATTTTTGTCTCTTGTTTCCTTCCTATCAATGGGAATTAGATCCTCTTCGGCTGCTCACTGGAGATCCAGAAGATCAATGAATAATAAGCACTCATAAAAGATCGTAATGTAACAATTAAATAATTTATATATTTTTAAAATTAAAGTAGTCTCGTTTTGGATAAAAAATATATAAAAAAAAATTGTAACCGCACGATATTTGATGAACAGTTAATATTCATTGATCTCCAGAATCCCAAATGAGGGGATCCGAAGAGGGACTTGGATCATCTCTTGAGCCCAAGGAGAGGATCCTCCTGACCAAAAGACTTAGGCCGTTTGATGAAAATTCAACGGCTATAATTATTATAACTTTAAATGAACTCTCCTGTTTGTAACCGTTAGATTTTCATCCAACGGTCCAAGTTCTTTGGTCAGAAGGATCCTCTCTTTGGGCTCAGGATACAAGTCCTCCGAGGATCTAATTCCCTATCTATGATCTATCTAATATCTGTACAAGCCTTGCCAATAGGGATCAAAAGAGGTCCTCTTTGGTCTTTTCCCTTCGTTTCATCCAATCTTTTTTTATTGGTTTGTGATTAGTGTGAGTTTTGGTTTGGTTTGTGATTAGTGTGAGTTTTGGTTTGTGATTTGTGTGGTAATGGATGAGATTAAGAGGATAATAAAGCTCATCTTTTACGTGTGGCCTTGAGGGAGCTTACTTGGTTTATCCAGGGCCACTCGCCTACTTTGTTCAATAGTGACTAGTTCTAGAGATATCCCCATGCTTCTTCAAATTCCTCAACCCTTTACCAAAAACAACAAAAATTATGTATTGGGTTCCATGAGTACTCTACGTAGATCATATTTATGTATTACATTTTGTATAAGATGTAACATTACAAGTGATTAAAAAAAACACATTTTTCAGATTTAAATCACAATTTTCTTGCCATTGCTTTACCATTACCTCAAGAGAATTTTTATTTTTTCACAGTTGCAACTACTAACCATTGCAAAGAATTCAATTCTTACCGATTATTACTCAATACTCAAGTGGACTCATCAAGTGTATTGAGAACACGACATCGTATGCAGAGTGTAATAATATAATTGATTTGAAACTTGAAGAAGAAATTTTCATTTAACTGTATTATAACTCTTAGTGTAGCAAACCGTGTTCTTATCATACTAACAAGTTTCTCCATTACTTGAGGTTGAGAAAATTTGTCTATCCGTAACTAGGTAATTAGTAACTCCCATCATAATTTAATATCCTTTGTAGGAAGCAACGGGAAGAAAATTCAAATTCCAAAACTCATATTAAATTAGAAACTAGAATTAGAAATGGCATTGAATGGCTTCCCGGCAATATTCAATTCACTTAAATTCAGTTTATATAATACAATAATAAATGGATGGAAAATTGAAGGGATCCCATTGAAATTAAAACCCAAAAAATGAGGTGTCATGCTTTAAAATCAATTTTAATTTTAATTATTTATTTTTGGTAATCAGCATTAATTTATTAAGTTTTACAGAAATTTGGATTTGCCGCCAACTTAAAACGTGTTTTGAGCCCCCCAATCTCAAAAGCAAGTTTGACCTATCAGACGGTGCAGAACCAACAATCTCTCTGAACTCTGATTCAGTCGTGACTCACTCCCGCCACAATCTCACCACCTCATCAGTCATCCCCCTCTTTCTTTTCCAATTTCCATTTAACCCAACAATAATTATTTTAATTTAAAATAAAAAATCCAAATCCCATATCCAATTTCGGAATGTGGCGCCCTTTTTATTCCCCCTCAATTCACCAACCTTTTGGCGCGGTTGCCTCCCGTTGGATCAAATTTGTGGTTTCTTCCCCAACCGTGGGTATTTTCGTCATTTCCGTTTACCCGGGCTAGGGTTTCGCGTCTCGTTTATATAAGGAGTCGATTTTCAGATCAGCTGCGCGGCGCGTTTGAGTGTGTGTCGGTTTGATTCCTCATTTTTCCTTCTCGCGGCGCCGCTCTCTCTCACTACCTCTCATCCTTTCTCTCTCTACCTTCTCTCACCGCATGTCGGTTTAGTCTGCGTATTTAGCCTCATCATCCCAATCACCACACGCCTCCATTGCTAGCCTCCTCTGTTTTGCTCGCTCTTTTTTCACTGTGCTTTTTCGAAAAGCTGCTATAAGCACTTTCGGTCTCAGCTTCTGAGTTGTGATCGATCTCTTTCCTTCTTGTTCCTCTGTTTTTTTCCATAGCTTGGGTTCGCTGAGTCACTAAAGTTTCTTACTTGACCAGAAACCATTCGATCAAATTGATCGCTACCCAGTTCGATTTCCTACTCGTTCTCAACTGGGTTTGTCTCAGATCTTCATAATATCTCATACAGAATGTTGGATCCAATCGATAAAGTGAGTTTATTTGATGCAGAGCTTTCATTTGATCTGGGTTTTTATATTTTGATCCGGCTAGTTACTGATCGGATCGGGTTTCTGTGTTTTATGCAGGGATCGGAGTCAGAGGAAATGACTATCAAAACCCCAGATGCCGGTTCCTCGGAGGAAGGCTTTAAGAAAACCTGCGCCGACTGTGGAACCTCCAAAACCCCTCTGTGGAGAGGCGGTCCGGCGGGCCCAAAGGTCATTTCACAACCCATAGGCCCTTGATTTTTTTTTAAATTCCTCTTTTGGGTTTTGATCTGATTCGTGTATTGTTTATGTTTTTCAGTCTCTCTGTAATGCGTGCGGGATCAGAAGCAGGAAGAAGAGGAGGGCTATTTTGGGATTAAACAAAGAAAATCCCAACGATAAAAGGGGCAAGAAGAACAAGCAGCTCGGCGACGGCTTGAAGCAGCGGCTGTTGGCTTTGGGAAGAGAGGTTTTGATGCAGCGATCGACGGTGGAGAGGCAGCAGAGGAAGCTCGGCGAGGAAGAACAAGCGGCGGTGCTGCTGATGGCCCTCTCATATGGCTCTGTCTATGCTTAGCCTATGTTCGGATTAATATCAAGCTATAAGTAATAAGTAATTAATTAGGGAGAAATGGCAATTCTAACCTCCATTTTTCAGTGTAATTTCACCCCCACCCCCTCCCGTTTTCTTGCCTCTTTTATTAGTGGAAATTTACTTTGTTCTTTATTTTTGAGAGTGATTGAGCAAATGTAAGAATTTTGGAAGATCTTGTTCTAATTTTGCTGACATAATTCTACTAGTTTCGGTGTTTGATGCTGTTTTCTCTAAATTTATTGTATGTGGATTTTGCAAGAATTTTTTGTCGCTTTCATGCATGTTTACCCTTTTGGCCCATCAACAAATACTAACCCACCAAGCATAAAGGTGGAAAATGAAAGCTCTCTCGTATTGGATGGGAATGTTTTCCTGCAAATTTTCCTTTTTGTTCTGTTTGGCAACTGAGAAAATTGGGTGAGAGTACAAGACTTTCGGAGGGAATTGAAAGATCATTTGGTACTTAAAAAGGGAGGAAGGAAATGAATTTTATGAACCAAGTAGAGGGAAATTCAGAATAAGATTTGATCTTTTCTTGGTCTCTAGAGGGAGAATTAGATCAAGTAGAGGGAAATTCAAAAGATTTTAGTATTCTTAGCAAGTGTTGACTGTATGATGCTCTATGCGACTTTTCAGGAAGATGCAACAAGAAAGAAATATCGATGGATAATTTAAAAAAAATCCATGTTACGGGGCAGGAGATTTGGACTTTTAGTCAACTTGATCAAACTTATCAAGTTTAATCACCCCGAACGAGCACCTGTATATTAATCAACTCGAAACCATTTAGCCTAAGGCTATCTCTAATGTGTTAGCCCCTAAAGTTAAAAGTTATATTTGGCTTCAAAAGTTATATTATTTTATTTTATGACATAAAAAACCATCATCGGCGTTCTCCTCGGGGATTCAACAAGTGCTTAAATAAAATCAAATTCATATTGTGATGAAGCTAATCGGGTTGAATGTACCCCTGAATGAAAAGATCATTTGATTTGGACCGTTAAAATTTGATCAAACGGTTACAATTATTATAATTTTTAGAGAAGTCCCTTGTTTGTAGCTTTCGGATTAAATTTCAACGGTCCGAATCATTTGATCCTTAAGCTCAAATTATTGCAATCCGGAGAGAATTCGGTTCCTAAATAGATAAAGCTGGCCATCAATATTTGAAACAATTATTTTTTTGTGTAATACATGCTTTGGCATTTGACTTCAAAGTCATCTATAACTTCAAATTTTCAGATGCAGAGGAGAGTGATCAAGTCAAATATGAAGTCAAATATGAAATCAAATATGACTTTTAACTCTAAATTTTTTAACGCATTGGAGAAAGCCTAAATACCAAGTTAATTAGATGGAAAAAGGTGATTAACAAAAAGTATGAAATGCAGTGTCATGCATGCATGTAATTACTAATTTAGGTTTGATCATGATTGTTATATGATGAAGAAGCTAGATCCTTGTAGCGCCATAACTATTGGTGAAGAAGCCATTACTAGTTAGTCAGACTCATAATACAAAGACAGGAAATCAAAGGCTGGTACTTTTCTTTCCAAAAGCTAAATCCTGCAGTAACTTGTTTTATATTGTGAGCCACCCTATCAAGAAACGACGCCGTCACTGCCTGCCCCAGGCAGTACCATGTACTAATTTACTCCTACGTGCGTGTATATAGAAGGAAAAACTTCCTTCGTTAGAGAAGTTGAGCAGGATAATACTTGAATACAGTTTAAGTTCTTCTTCTTCTTCTTTTTTTGTATTTTTGTATTTTTTTTTATATTTTTTGAGAATGTTTGACTATCTAGATGTTTCGGGTTGACCTACACAAGTTGCATTTAATCCGCAATTGTAACGTGAGATATGTTAACTTGTTTCATGTAAATTAATATTTTGTTAGAGTAAAAAGTAGAAATATAGAGAATGATCTGAATGATGACTTTGAGGTATGACTTGAATCGTTTCCTTAAAGTGTTATTTGCCCCCACTCGAATGAGTTTGCTAAAGGGTTCTTGACAAGTTACTTCCAGGAAACAACAAAGTATGAAATATTCGATTAGCAAAACCGAATTGCTAAAGGGTTCTTGCCAAGTCATTTCCAGGAAACAACAAAGTATGAAATATTCGATTAGCAAAACTGAATTGTATTCCCTTAGAATTAACTAAAAAGAAATTGTATGAATGTGATGGAGAGAAAAGAGAGCAAGAAATGTAGAAATAAATTTCTGAAATTGTGTGTTAAACATTATGCCACAATAGGCATTTATAGGCATTAAGGCACCCGTTCATCGAGTCATTTCATTTTAGTTGAAGATATACAACTCTTCTTAAAAGTGTTGATCCAAAAGACATGTCTTCTATTTAGAATTTAAAAAAAATAAATATTGACTAATTATATCTATTAATTCTACTCATACAATTTAAGTAAGTATCATGTCTTTTAACCAAAACTTGCAACCATTCAAAAAGTATACAACCCTAAAAGGTTGAATAAAACACAACCTTTTGTAAGGTTGCTGCCCTTTCTGTGCGTACACACACATGCTGCACAACGCAGCCAAATCATATATATATATAAAATTTATATATTTATTATTGAAATCTCTAACATATTTTCCTTCTCATATTGTACATTTTGAATTGAAAACCACGAATGCATGCACACAATGTATAAAGATTATGCGCTTGGGACGGTTTGTTGTTGCCTAAAAATGTTCCAAGTTGACCATCTAGCTATTACGAGGAAGGAATGAAACGGTGAGAAAATTTGGATGAGCAGTTTTTGGTTTCGATTCGTAATGGAGCAAGAATGAAGTGGTGTAGGAGGAAGCAACGAAATGGCGAGAAAAGAAAATATGCATATGAATGAAATGGTGTGGAAGCATTTAGACTTAGTCTACTGAAGAGACGGGTATTTTTGTCATTTTTGTTGTGCAAGCCAAAAAAAGAGGGAAGGAGGAACAGTAAAACGGGAGGCATTTCCGTCTTTAAACTGTATTTAGGAACAATGTTTTTCTCATTGCGCTTTACCATATATAATTTCCTTGTTTTGTGACTTATGTCACGGTGGACATATATACATACAAGACTAAATCTATCAAAAGAATTAGTACAATATGTTTAAAGCTAAAGCGCAACAGCCAAATATGTTTCCCCGCTTTTATGTCAACACTAATACTATTATTTTAGACAACTTTGCTACTAGATGGTGCATGGTTAACTTAATATTCTTAATTACTTTTTGTTGCGTATTTAGCAGACCAGCATAAATATTCTATGATCTCTTTTTTTTTCTTTTTTTTTTTCCCTTGAACCAATTGAACTAAACGCATCATTTTAGTGTATCTCCAACAAAATCGAAAATACTCAATTCATGTTGAAATTTGTCACATAAATAACACATCTAAGCAACTGTTATGTAATTGTGATCGTCATGTATGGAGAATACTTTGAGTGCGGCAATACATGTTAGATGACGTGAAAACGCATATGACAAACCATTTGGCGAACGCATGAAAAATGTGGCTCTACGAATGAAGCCACACAAGAATGCAAGAGGGTCCGGGTCCCCTCCACTCTCCAATTCCCTTTCTTTCTCCAGAAAAGGATCCTTGCCGGATCATTTTCCAGGGGATCCGGGATCCCATGATCATGGCTGTTCATCGTACATCGTGTGGTCAGTTTTCATTAGGTACTATTTATATTTAATTTTAAATTTTAAATTTCAAATGATTTCTGACCGTACGATATACGATAAACGAACATGATCACGGAATCCTCCGAATCCCCAAGAAAAGGATTGTCGCCGGATGCTTTTACTCTTTCTTCGTTAAACATGATCGACCCCTTTGCACTACGGGGTCCCTCAAACTGTGAAATGCCCCTCTTGTTAAGCCCAACTAAAAAGACTTTAAAATTTGAGCAAGACATAAGGGCGAAAATGAGATCGTGGTCCAAGGCATTTTGGTCTGCAGTGGTTCAAGCTCAAAGCTCAATGTTTTGAGACAATCCCAAGTTTTGTGTTATAGAAAGATAGAAGTGGGCCTTATTCTTGATGATCAAGAGGCCCAATATTAAACCTTTGTACGTTTAAATGGAAAAGGTGAAAATAGTGAAGCTTTCATAATATCCAAATTGTCATTTTCTTATTAAAATTTCAGAAAAATAAAATAAAATACAAAATTATGGAGGGTGGTTAGTAAGTCCATTATTTTTCTTTAAAAAAAAGCCAATTACCACACGCGCAAACGTGTGGCAAGATGCTAGTATCGTTTAAAAATTACACTATTCAGATTTTATATGTAAAAAGTCATTTCTGCTTAATTAACACATATGCGAAGTATCTCACTTGAAATACTTCATGTTTACGTAACAATTTCTACGTCAAAAAATAATTTTTACATGTAATGAATCGAGTATTTTTTTTTTTAAGCATTCATTTGTGATTATTACTATTATTTCTTCATATAACTATTTAACCACAGAAGAATCATGCATATGTCTTCTAGTGCAGGTTCAATTCTAATCTATTCTACAATGTAGAGAGAGTGGCAATCTCTATCCTACCTATTTCCTGTGTGAGTGCTCGAGCCTAGGATGCCATATGCCAACTTGGCTGGACCCCCAACCCAAAACCCATTGGAATACGTGCCCTCATGCTAACTGTTCCCCACACTTCTACTGATCCATACAACACATTGTTTGCCCTTTTATTTGTCCCTTTAATGCTCACTTGAGCCACCATCCAAAATCCCTAAATCTGCTGCTGACTTGTTTACAAATCACCACATCTTTCTGCATTTTATCAATCTCATTTATCTTCCCTTTTCTTTTAAGGTCACACATTTTCAATTTATTCATTCACAAAGCGGGTTTGTATTCGGTAGTGCAGTCTACTAAGTAGTATGAACTATTGAAGAAAAATTGTTAAAAAAGGTTGGAAAATTATAACCCATTGAAGAAAAGGGAAAGTTTGTTAATTTAGCAGAAATGGTCAGCCAGATTTTGATCTCCAAAATCTATTTATTTTTTATTTTCAATAGGGGTGGGTTCGAAAAACTGAAAAATAAAAAACGAATTGAAAATAAAAAATCAAACTGAAAGTATTGGTTTGGTTTCGATTTCAGTGGTCCAAAAATCAAACCAAAGACATTCATGGAGTCTATTCCGAGAACCTACAACAAAGGCATTCATGGAGTCTATTCGGAAAACTTTCTCTCCCTTGTGAGAGCTTTCTTG